TGTCACCTCAATGGGAATATGCAGCAATATTAGCTTCTATAGGGAGCAAATGGACCTCCCAAATCCAAAAATACAATCAGATTTCAAAAATTTAAATTTTGATTTTTCGAATTTCTGCCGCCGACTGTGACCTTGCCGACTTCCGGCGCTCCCAACGCGCCATTTTTAGAGCTAGGGAAACGAAATACATACCAAACGATAGAGAATTGATCAAGGAACACGATAGTGAAGGTTTCAAGTCGATATCTCCGACCGTTTTGCCGCAATTGCCGCCGAAAGTTGAAAAAAGTCTATTTTTCCGAAAATTTGACCTTTGACCGGTCAAAAGTAGGTCAAATGTTGACCTAGGACCAAAAATATACCACCAATCGCGAGATCTCGGCGAGAGCAATCCGTTGGTCTTTTCCGCTAAGCTCTACGACGCTCCGTTTTCAAACGCCAAGGGGGGGGTCGCACCAACCCCCCCCTGCATGGGCGAAGGTGGCAGATCGCCGTTTACGGGCGAGGGTTAAGCTGAATTCGAATTTATAAACCATTTGAACCAGGGATGCGGAGCCGTGGAAATTTCAGACGGCTCCGGCTCCGGCTCCGGCTCCGGAGAAAAAAATCGGCTCCGGCTCCGGCTCCGGCTCCGGGTGAAATGTCATGGCGGCTCTGGCTCCGGCTCCGGCTCCGAGTAAAATGGTCCGGCTCCGGCGGCTCCGGCTCCGGCGGCTCCGGCTCCGGCTCCTACACAGTACATCCCCTATGCGATCAATTAACCCTCGCCGGACCTATTGGTTTTCTACATACGCGCCGGCCGGGGGGGGGGGCGGGTACGACCCCCCTCCCCTCGCCGTTTCGCCCCTGGTGGAGCTAGCGCGTCGCGGAAAAAACGAGCGTGTGTGCCGTTTCAAGACGCAGAGAATGATACCCGATTTTAAGGTCCTAGGTCAACCTGTGACCTCTGAGGTCAGGTCAAGTGTCCCAAGGTACGGTTCCGTTTTTGGCGAATAACTTCGCAAAAAACGGCCGAAGAGCCGCGATTTTGGCAGCATCGTGTTCGCCTCGCTCAGGTGCGTCAAATAATATACTTTTTGTTTGGGTGAGATCAACTTAGGGTGTTGACCTCGGGTCACGGTCAGGTCAGCGCCCCAGGTCACGAAGCTGGTCGAAGGAGATCATATCGCATATCATTCGATTCGGCAGGTCTTCTTGAGTCCATTGGTGGCTTTCCCGACTCGCTAGCTCAATTTGATCGAGAGTTATTGACGAAAAACTATTATGACCCTAATGACGTCATAAATGACGTCACGCAAGGTCAACATTGCAAAAGGGACGCATGGAACCTTGCAAGGAGTGCATGAAATCACGATTCTGTGTGCTTGAGATAGTTGGAGATCGTTCCCGGCGCCAGAATAGCAGTTTTCATTTTTCCCCATTGACTTATAATGGTGAGGTCACGAAAATGACCTGACCTCATATGACCTTTAGGAAAAATCCGAGATATACAAGTTGTGAGACTCCTAATGGATACTAGGTCCTGCAAGTTTCATTTCCCTGTGAAAGCTCCTCTGGCAGTGAGGGCGTTGCGAAGTTGCTACATCTGAAGACCATGCAGAGGTTCACTTATGACGTCATAGGTCAGTGACCTGACCTGACCTGAAAATGCGGTTGGTGTCAAAAGATCCGGCTTGAAACAAGGGTCAGGTATGCCAAGTTTCAGCTCTCTATCCCCGGCGTGTTCGGAGCTATCGCGAAAAAAACCTATGGGGGGGGCGGCACCCGCCCCCCCCCCCTCGGCCGGCGAGGGTTAAATACGGGTGGAAGAAAAAAGGCGATGGGATTGGTAAACGTGGCTTCTGTATTTGCATAACAAGGTTATTTTGAATACCACATTGTTTTACGCCTTGTACTGTCAAACCGAACTAGGCAAATAATTTTTCCTCTTCAAAAAAAGGAGCCGGAGTCGCCCCCTTTTTTGACGGCTCCGGCTCCGGCTCCGGCTCCGGGCTATATTGTTTCACGGCTCCGGCTCCGGCTCCGGCTCCGGGCAAAATATGCCGGCTCCGGCGGCTCCGGCTCCGGCTCCGGCTCCGGCTCCGCATCCCTGATTTGAACATTTATGAAGTAGTTTTGGTGCCTTCGTAACATGTTACGTAGCTGTCAGAGGTGGTTGACACGTACTACGAATACCCGTCACGACCCCTACTGGTTGACCTGACCTGACCCGACCTGGTCTAAATACCTTAAGACATCATCTGTGATCAAAACTAACACGATATTCGTGATCAGCACCCCGAACAACCCCATTGCAGCTACACTTTGCGACTTTCTAACAGGTCCCGATTTTCCCAACTTTTGGGTCATTGACCTGACCTGGAAGGTCAACCAAGGACCTAGAACCTTAAAATTGGCAAAAAAAAATAGCAAAACTTCGGGACACCTGGCAATATTAATGCCTGGCACCATGTGATATTCAGCGCTTTTGGAGGTTCGTTCAGGCGAGGAACTGGTCTGTGACATGAGGACATTTCTGCATGAACAACCATCGAGTAACGACAATAACAGTGAAATACCTCATGTTCATGGGGGTGAAACAGGATGGCGACCAGACGAAAACATCAGGGTTCAAAAGCAACACCTACAACATCGACAACCGACACCTGACAAGAACATAATTTGTGTAGAATAATCCCCTGTTTGCCTCTATATACCGATAGCTATGGAGCAGCATTTGGACAATTTCTTTCCTAACGTGAATCTCACAAGGTATAAGCGCATACCACATATCCTGTATTTTTTGCTTTTATTCAAGTGGCATTAAAGCACACCTTGACGGATCGCCTTGGACAGATCACCTTCACGCCTTATTCCAAGCTGAGTATTACGCTATTGGCTATTTGCGCAAAAGCAAATAGCCAATTGGCCATTCAATATTATATTACATATTTGCGCATTCAATAACTACCGACCAATTTCTTTACTGCCGGTCATCTCGAAATTACTAGAAAAACTCATTTATGCTCGTTTAAGTGAACACTTGACTCAAAATAACATCATCTGTGATAATCAATTTGGCTTTAGGCAAGGTATGAGTACGTACATGCCTATCGTAATTCTTCAAGAAAAAATTGTAAGTGCTTTTGAAAGTAACTTGAACACTTGCGGAATTTACCTCGACCTCCGCAAGGCTTTCGATACAGTTGATATCGAAATATTACTTTGTAAGCTACATAAATATGGCATATGTGATGAAGCACATATGATGCTAAGATCATACTTGAACGAACGCACTCAATGTGTACAAATTGATGACATTGAATCATTTATTCTTCCGATAAACATCGGAGTACCTCAGGGATCTATTTTAGGTCCACTTCTTTTTATATTGTACATAAATGATTTTATCTCCGTATGTGATGAACACATATCTGTACTTTTATATGCTGATGATACTGCCATTTTCATAGAAGGAGAAAACGAAAATGTACTTCAAGCTAGAGTAAATACATTAATGCCTAAAGTTGCTGAATGGTTTGCTTCCAACCAGTTGTCTTTAAACTCTGATAAAACGTACTATCAGATATATACCAATAAACGAACAGATTTTGAACTAGCAATTCAAATTGATGGTGCTGAAATTGTCCGTGCAAACACTGTTAAATACCTTGGTGTATTTATTGATGAAGACCTCAAATGGAAAACACACATAGCCAAACTGCAAACAACATTGTCGAGAAACATTGGAATCATGAATAGGTTAAAGTACCTCTTGGGCACAAAACACCTTTTGTTATTGTATCATTCTCTTTTCCAGAGTCATGTCAACTACTGCTGCTTTATTTACACTAACACTTATCCAAATAGCTTAAGTGAATTAGAAAAACTTCAGAAACGAGCTGTTAGAATAATCGATGGACAGCCAAGACTGGCTCATACTGCGCCAATATTCAGGAAATTTAAACTCCTTAAACTTAGGGATCTTGGGCATCAACAAATGTTATTACTATTACACAGAAAACTTAATGGGAACCTGCCATCTGCTATTGCTGAGCTTTTTGTAACCTCCGAACCTACTAGAATTAATCGTTCCGTTAAACATTTCTATGAGTCATTTGCATATAGAGTTTACAAAACTCATACTTTATCATGGGCTGGGCCTAGAATTTGGAACAGAATTATGGTACCTTTATTTCCTAGACTCTCTACGGTGCCAACTTCGAAATCCGTTATCAAAAACATCTCCAAAAGTTTCTTCCTAAGCCAGTATGGTTGATTCATTGAATACAGTGTTTCTCATCAATATATGTTCCATGTATATTAGTATGTACGTTTTATACACATAAAAAACATCTTTATTATCGAGTAGCTAGTTCTGTTACCCGTCCTTCCTTTTCGGTTACCCCTTTTCCATTGTGTGTATGTGATTTTTTGTGTTTTGTTTTTGTTTTTGTTTTTTGCTTGTCTTTTTTTTGCGTCTTTTGATATCGCCTGCCAGTCTCGTTATGTTGCCTTTATTGCTTTATTGCCTTACCTGTCCTAATTTCTACACCAGCCACTTCGGAACTGGCCTCTGTGGGCCGTCTGACAACAAGCCTTGCTTAGTTGGACGGCCCTACAAAGGCTCAGTAAATGACCCTGCCTGAATTTGACCAGAGATGTTACCTACAACAATCCACTATGTATGTATGACTGAATCCCCCTCAGTTGTCTTCCTCCCACTAACATTCCCATGTGTGAGTGAGCATCAGTGGGCGTTTCAGGGATGTAGGAGGGCAGTCACTAACTGTTTGCAGTTGTGACTACTTTGCTTCTTTTATACCATCTATTAACAGCATGCTTACTCCTCTGATATTCGCCTTCTTTTGTTTTTTTCCTTACTCTTAGCAGGGAGTGCCGCGACTTGTCATATTAAGTTTTCTGGTGTTAACGTAAGGTTCTGTGTGTCGCTGGGATAGAGGGAGGGGGCACTCCTGGTCACCTGTTCATGGGTGGCGGTGTAGAAAAAAAAAGCAGACGGAGCGTTTATTGTATTGAACATGATAAATGATAATGTTCATCGGAAGGCAGGTGATAAGCAATGGCTATGTTGGGTGTAATCGTATAATTACCGGTACGTCACACTACATGAATGATGTAAAATTACACGTCACTTTCACGTGATTCCAAAGATAAAACTAGCACATTCTATCAAAACAAGCAACAGTAAAAAAAGCGAGCTTGTTACTTAGAATGATTAATAACGCTTCTAATAATTTACTTGCCACACCTTTCACGTACATACAACATTCAGCAAATGAACAATGTTAAAAGGTACAAGGAGCTGCAAGAATACTATCATGAATGTCATCGAGTTTCAGGTACGAGAAAACAGAAAAAGCAGTAATGCTCCAACAAAACTAGACGATTTTTCCCCACTCAATATTAGTTTTATTACATCCTGCGGTAATAGTGAAATAAATAACTATTGAAGCTGGACTGTTTGTTGTTTTTGTTTTGTTGGGTTAAGCCCTTTCGGTCTGACGGGACCATTTCAGGGCCGAAAGGATGCTAGGAATTAGGGCTGTACATTGGTCTGAGTGAGCACCCTAGTCAGCCACCGGGGCTGAGCCCGTCCAAAAGACCGGCCGACCAGACCCCAAGCACTCACCGCACCCCACTACGGCCGTGCTCTTACGGGTATTCCCGCATGAGATAAAGTTGCCCGCCCAGCCCGGAGCAGGGTTTGGATGCACGGAGGATAAGGATTCGAATATTCTGAGGAAGGAAATAACGGGCCGGTGTGTGTGGACTATATTATATTCGCACTACAATGCAGTATTTCTTGCATCTGCCAATCCTTGCTAAATGGTGTTCGAGTTGTATTAGGAATTCGTGGGTGAGATATAAGACATGTGCATCAGATTCAGGTAATACACGGCTTCACAATGGACGACACCGAAAGGTGTCGATCCATTTGACACTTGTCCTGAAGCCAGCCAGGATAATAATATATCACAACTACTCGGTGTGGACGATGCAGCAATGCTGCCTGCCGGCCTCCCAGAACGACTGCAGCGTCACCTAGGGTCGCACACGGCCGGCAGGCAGCGTCACCTATCGCTGAGCGCCGGCGGCTGGTATCGCCGATTGTCACTGGCTAGTCTCCTGGAGTCTCATGGCGAGCTTGTAGCCCAGCTCCGGACGACGATCACGGCCCTGAACCATCGACTTCACCTGAAATCAGCAGAGTTTTCTATAAATCAACCGCACGTTTCCAGAAGTAGTAGGTACATGTACATTTAAATTTGATTCATACGTAATAATTGCATCGTGTTATATTTTCATTATAAGTACCGTAAGGTGGGGCTATTTGAGACAGTGGGGCTATTTGAGACAGTATTTAAAATTGTTATAAAATAAACACCATTTGAAATTTATGCTTAATTTTTGCTCAGGCGATTTACTGCTCGATTCCACACCTTCCTGAGCAAAAATATCACATAAAAATCAAACGCTCTTCATTTTATAGCGATTTTAAATACTGTCTCAAATAGCCCCACTGTCTCAAATAGCCCCACTTTACGGTAGTAATCAACGGACACATTTTGGTTTAAGTAGATCTATAATATATATTTGAGCAGTGACTTGCGTCATTGTAGCAGTTTTGGCTTACCACTTATTACATGGCTGATCTAGTCAGCAATAAACCAGAACATCAAACATAAATACACCACAATTTTATATAAAATGCCCACTGTGCACCTACCTGGGTGGAGTTGATCACGACGCCGTTCGCTTTCATGATGTTCTGTTTGAGCTTCTCGATCTCATCTGTACACACTCCTCTGCAGGCATCATCAACGAGGATGGTTCTGAAGCCCTCGTCCAGAGCGTGTGTAGCAGTCGCACCTAAAAACACAAACATCGTATCTTTGAAGTCAAACGTGAAGTCTTTGAAGTTACAAATGATGCAATGATGTTAAACCAGGTTGTGATGTAATCTGAAGACAAATTGGTTATGACGCTGTGAAACTAAAAAAGCGAATAAAGCCTAAGCTACACTAGCATGAATTCCGACGTTTTTTCGGTTTCTGCGGGATTTCAGCTCGCGTCGTCAAGTTCGCCTCATAGCGAATGCATTGCGCAAGCTACACTGCCAGTCTGGCGTCCCGTGGAACGAAAACCCGCAAAAACCGACGAGTCGGAACCGAAAAAAAGTTCAGAGCTGTGAACTTTTTTTCGGTTTCTGCGGGATTTCGTTTTAGTGATGGATGATTAGAAGTGATTGTTGCTTATAATATTGTGACGATGGAACAGTTTCAAATGTAAATAATGAAAATGGTGTAATTCATGATTAAATAAGACAAAATGTGTTTCAAAACTCATCATTCTACATCAAATATGATAATTGTAATTAAACTGACAAATGATTATGATCGAAAATCTTTTCTTGTTAGTTGCAAAATCTTTAAAACAGTTATTTAATTATAATTTTGTTAAAACACGATAATATTTAACATGAATAATTAAATAAATTGATCACTTATCCATCACTATGCTATAAACAACACCGTCCACGCGGCGGCCGCCCGGAACGAAAAAACGCAGAAACCGTAAAAACGCGGAAACCGAAATCACGCAGAAACCGAAAAAAACGCTGATAGTGTAGCCTGTATAACGCCTTTTGGGGCGACTAACGGAGCGAGCGAGAGGGTGAGCCTTGCACGTGCGAAATTGCGAGGGGTACCTCCAACTGAGTTGTGCACGGCACCCTACTAACCGGTCTCTAGCGATGTGCCAAATTTGAGCACAATCGGCCCAGCCGTTCTCGAGATCTGGAAGCGGCACCCTGCACGTGCGCACGTGCAAAATGGGTCTCAACTGACTTTTGCACGGCTCCCTACTAACCGGTCCCTAACCATGTACCAACTTTGAGCGCCATCGGTCCAGCTGTTCTCGAGATCTGGAATCGACCCCTGCACGTGCGCACGTGCAGCAGCACCCCAACTCTGGCACATGGATATGCATTGCCTAGTGGGTGCCTACCTACATGCCAACTTTCAGCGCAATCGGCCAAGTAGTTACCGGGATATTGCAACAATTACAAAAGTGACACCTCTTCGTTTTGCACGTGGCACGTGCATAAGGGGTCACCCACATGCATCGGGAATAGTGCAATACTTGGTAGAAGGAATGAAGCTACCCTACAAAAATTACCGCATGTAAATCGGTCAAGTGGTTGCTGAGATATAAGCCTCGCAAAAGCGTGACCACGGCCGGCCGGCCGCTCATACTCAGAAATTTCCGTTAATCTAAGGAAAGACTACGCTCGCTTCGCTCGCTCCGTAATAACCAGTATAACGCCTTATGGGGCGACTAACGGAGCGAGCGAGAGGGTGGGCCTTGCACGTGCGAAATTTCGAGGGGGTACCTCCAACTGACTTGTGCACGGCACCCTACTAACCGGTCTCTAGCGATGTGCCAAATTTGAGCACAATCGGCCCAGCCGTTCTCGAGATCTGGAAGCGGCACCCTGCACGTGCGCACGTGCAAAATGGGTCCCAACTGACTTGTGCACGGCACCCTACTAACTGGTCCCTAACCGTGTACCAAATTTGAGCGCCATTGGTCCAGCCGTTCTCGAGATCTGGAAACGACCCCTGCACGTGCGCACCCCAACCTTAACCCGCGCGGGGCTGGGGGGGGTAAATTTTACCCCCCCTCGCGAATTTTTGCGATATCTCAAAAACGGCGGCGCGCAGCGCCGCCAAACTTTCAGTACCTTTTCTTACATCAATTTGACACCTTCCCTGAAAATTTGAGCGAAATCCGTCGGAAAATTTTTGAGAAATTGACGTTTTAGTGACGTCATGTTCGCCATTTTCGCCTCAAAAACGGCAAAAGTTCAAACGCCGCTAACATCTTCATTTTTAAAGGAATCAAGACGTAACAAAAAAGGTTATACGTAATTTTACTTTGTCTATCAAATGGCTATCTCGGTTTTTTGAAAATTTTGGATTTTGGCCTAATTTTTTTTCAAAAAACTGATTTTTTTGGGAAAATCATTATAAAATCCAAAATTTTGAGTTTATCGAAAAAACCGGAATATATGTCAGAGAAGTGGTCTATGTGCACCTACATACCAAATTTTAGAAGAATCGGTTCAAAAATGTGGGAGTTATTCAAAATTTTATGACGTCACGACACACAAATTTTTTGAAAAATGACTTTTTTGGAAGTTCTAGACCTCGTACGGAAACAAAAATAGCACCATTCGATTCGCCGTGAAAAACTGCATCAGATAAACACCTTTTTAGGCCTAAACAACCAACTTCAAAATTTGACCTCACTTGACCTGACCTTGACCTGACCTCGACCTGAAATTCATCCAGAGGTGGTCCATATCACTTATTGAGTGTGCCTATTGAATTCTATGAGTAAAATGACCCATAAAACATGTGTCGCACATGCCCTTTTCTATATTTTGTTTTTTGGTGACCTGACCTGACCTGACCTGACCTTGACCTTGACCTCTGAATGATATTGTATGCAACTAATATTGTCTTGGTAGCCTAAGAACACGTTTTGGGCGATCAGTCTCAGTCCATGACTCCATTCTTCGGCAACTACGGTGCAAGGCCGATACTGTAGAAACTTGCAATTTGTACCCTTGACCTGACCTTGACCTTGACCTCAAACTTTAAATTAAGTACATGTTTTTAGTAGTTCGTGATGAGAGCTTTCGATTGGCGTTTGAATTTTCCAAATCGGACCATTAGTTCGGGAGATAACAGGGGGGGTAAAATTTACCCCCCCCAGCCCCGCGCGTTCGGCTGGAGACCCCAGCCCCGCGCGGGTTAACACATGCAGATGAATCATCTGATGGAGACCTAACTGTGTACCGAGTTTCAATTCAATCGGCCCAACCGTTGTGCCGTTATTGAGGTTGCAATTTTGGGGGTTCTTAAAAAAATGTCCAACTTTACCACGCGCCACGTGCGGTGGTTGGCAAGAACGCATGGTGGCCATCACACCACAGAACTTTTACGTCCAAGTGACATTCAGTAAAGAAGACCGCTTGTCAATCGGATGTCCCGTTCCTAAGATATTAGCTTTTGAAGAGCGTCCCCACGGCCGGCCGGCCGCTCATACTCAGAAATTTCCGTTAATCTAAGGAAAGACTCCGCTCGCTTCGCTCGCTCCGTAATTATAGTAGGTAAGCGTCCAAACTATACATCGTCAAGACAGGTGAGTCAAAATTCGGATCTCGGATTGAGCTCGGGTGATGACACATTCAAAGTACTACCCAAAGTTCGTCATTTTCTCAAACACCTGGGCCTCGTTTCATAAAGCTCTGCCGTAACTTACACCTTTCCGTAATTCACACCCTTTCAAACTACGGAGCGCAAATAAATCCGTTTCACAAAGCCACAACTGGAATTGTTTACACCTCCGTAACTAAGCACATTTGCGTAGTTACCGTAATTTATCAAGCGTCCTACAAATTACAATTTCATGTCAACACTTATTTTTTTACGAGAATTTATAAGACAATTATGTTGAATTTAAATCTTAAAAATTATTTATGAAAAAACAAAATTGATATTGATGACCATCCTTTATTAAAACAATATATTAAAAACAGCAGAAAGCCAGCTAAGCAGAAGTGCCTAACTACGAAAGTGGCGCGGCGCGGCGAATAAACAAAATTCCGATAGTGGCCACAAAAAGCGACTGGTACAGAAGATTTGCAGTTTCTTTTTCTCATTTTGGCTGTTCTTTCTTCCTCACCGGGCTCAACATTATAAAATATATTAAAAATTAGCTTCGAAACTTCACATTAATTCAAAATCACGCAACATTTTTGTGCGTAGTTTACACCACTGATATCAAGAGCTTGATAAAATATTTGGCGTTAATTACGTCGTTTTATGAAACCCAAATGGCATCAATTGGTCCGGAATCGAGCATTTGCCGTAAATGAAGCTCCGTACTTTCGATGGCGTGAATTACTCCGGTCTCCGGCTTTATGAAACCGAATTGGCATCAAATACGCCAAATCTGGCATAATTGACGGAACGCCGTAAGTAATTCCTTTTATGAAACGAGGCCCTGTTTAGGGCTACTGAAAAGAATCCGTAATATTCCTACCGACGCAGACGTCTGTCGCGATGCCGCAAACAAAGACGTCGGTGACGCCTCGCTGGCGCAGCTGTCGGCTCAGACCCGTGTCGGAGATCTTGGCGTTATCGAAGAAGGCAGAGTAGGAGTCGATCTCGGGGTTGTGGCCCTTCTTGATCCACAGAGCACCGTCCACGATCTGAGGATAATGTGATGATGTCAGATTTGTGAATGATGGTCGGGAAATGCAAATAATGGCGGGGAGATAGCCACATATCAACACATGTTGTAGAAAAGTTGGCAAAACAACTGGATGTTGAGAGGCGTATGATGATAAATGTGTATTTAAAGCAGCCTGGATATTCATAGTATTGTGTCATCGCGCGAGCCTCCGCCGTTTGCTCAAGACGTATACGTTGCTATGAAAATCGCAGAGGTCACCCACCCCTAAAGAGGGTGGTGAACAGCTAAGTTCTTAGTGAGTCAGGGGGAAGGCTACTCACGCACGAAAACACGTAATCAAACCAACAGAGCATTATATACGGGAGTGATAGGTATTGGTTGTTATATTAATAGGTATCAGCAAGGAGCTTTGTTATATGGCTTTGTATACTGACACAAAAGTCGAGTGAAAAATGTTCAATGCCAGAAACGTGTGCTTACTGCTAAAACTGACTATTGAATGCGGGTACGGAATGTTCAACATTGCGTGCTGATTGCGATAGTACTTACACGCGCCTGGTTTATGCGTGCTTGTTTATTGCTATTGCTCCGTCAGTACCATTTACTTAATTAGAGAAAAAAAACACTCCATTAATCACATCTGCGCACACAAGGATCAATACACCGCCATTCCATGCGTCACTGCGCTTGGCTTCTGAGAAACGCATAAGGAATCGCTAAAAAACATTATTGCCATTCTGCGAGCGGCTGTGTCGTGCGCGTTCGCTCGGCGCGGTGGCCGCGGCTGACTAGTACAACTATCGAGCACGCTGGGTCGGGCCCGAGGTGTAATCGATATACCGGCTCCCGCACGCCCTCACACGAGACGGCATCGGTCGCCGCAGTTCGGCGAGCTGTGTAATTAAACGCACCGCTGTCCTCATTACAGAGGTGCCGCGTACCGGCTCCACCGGGAGAGCGGAACTGAGGATATTGCGCACTGATGTGTCGGCCTGGTGCTGGGTCAATGGCAGACATGTGCATGGATCCGAGAAAATGGATCTGAGATCTGATCCCACGGATCCTGATCTCGGATCCGACGGGATCATAGATCCAGCTCTCTAATTTATTGAGAGATCTGTAGGGATCACAGATCGGAGTCTCATTTTTTTGCTTGAGATCCAGTGAGATCATAGATCCTAACTTATTTTTTGTCAACACATATATCTCAAAAAAGCACTTGTTTCAACTCACAAACGTTCTCTTTTAGTGATTTTATGTGATTGCATGTCATAATCCATAGTTTTGTGTCACTTATTGGCATAGAAACCCTTTAAAACATGGTTTCAAATGTGGTGCATGGTGGGATCCACTCAGATCATAGATCCATGTTCTTAATTTATCGTCAGATCCTATGAGATCATAGATCCAAGATGTATTTTTCACGCCGGATCCGGTGGGATCATAGATCCCAGCCTGTACTTTGCTTCGAGATCCACTGAGATCATAGATCCATCACTCGGATCCATGCACATGTCTAGTCAATGGGGTGCGGAGGTATTGTTCTGTCGTTTCGCCATTTCTCAGCTCGCGTTTCAGAAAAAAAGGTTTTCAACTTCCTAGGAAGCAGGGCTGCGGAGTCGATGGATTTTCGGCGACTCCGACTCCGACTCCGACTCCGGCTTTCAAAAACCAGCTCCGACTCCGACTCCGACTCCGGGCAGAATTGTCGACTCCGACCGACTCCAACTCCCGACTCCGACTCCGCAGACCATAGCAGGGCTGCGGAGTCGACAGATTTTCGGTGACTCCGACTCCAACTCCGGCTCGGGTTTCTAAAATCGACTCCGACTCCGACTCCGACTCCGGTCACAACTGTCGACTCCGACCGACTCCGACTCCGACTCCGACTCCGACTCCGCAGCCCTGCTAGGAAGTATAGGTACCTACAGGAGGTATGTTGATTTATATGATTTGAGTGGGCCTTACCAACAAAAGATGACTTTTTGTTTGCACTTCGCCATTTCTCACAAGACCAATGTAAGTAAAAAAAATCCTGAGAAAGAAGTCTTCTCACAAGTTCAATCCTGAGGTCGATCTGGATATCTAAAACTTGCCTTGAGATCGGGGTGCAGTTCTGCGCCCCACGAATCCTGGATGCAGTGAGGAGGCCACAAAATCTGCTCCTTGATCGGGTCGCCGTCATACACGACCTTATCACATGTTTTTGCCTCTTCTGCTTTTACCTGAAAACGAAAAGCACGCTAATATTCGTTCACCTGCCTAGTGCATCCAACGTGGTTGGCAATTGGCATGCTCGATAGAAGTGGATAGAAGTGTGGGTACATCCATGCCACATAATCAAACATCAAAGCGGCTGAAGATGCAGCCATAGTGGTTACATAAGTCTGGGAGCATGTGGTCGAGGGGCAATGACATTATGTCGACATTATGACGTCATAACGCAATTATGACGTCTCTGACTGGGTCGATATGGCAGCAAGAAGCTGCGGCGGAAAATGGCGTCGCATAGAAAATAATTGAGGAGTAATTGGACGTACTGTAACAAAACTAATGAACTGCAATATGCTGCCACAGATTCCAAATGCAGGGCGTACGTAATGCGATGTTCACTACTTGTACTCCCGCATTCAATGACCTAAAGCAATGGTAAGAAAGTCACATCATAGTATTTACCTTATAACATAATATCTTTCGACATAGCAGTAAAAGTTTTACTACGCCTTGGATTCACACATAGCGTCTGATAATCTGCTTCCTTTCATTTGTCTTCAATCAGAAAAGCTTACAAATAAAAAGCAAATAGAAATGATAATTTCTTTTTTATTAGGCTTCCAGACTAAATAGGTGTAGATGAGGAGTGCGAATTTTGGAACGCCGAATGATAAACTGACCGGTGATGTCGGGTGCAGCGGGTACTTCAGCACGTTTGTGACGAACGAGAGGTGGTCGTTCGGGTGCCAGTCCATGGAGTAGACCACCACGTCGAACTTGATCGTGTCCAGTGCTTCGTTGATCACGGGCACAACCTGCCGATCACGGCAAATTGTGTTAGTTCAAATGTATTCATAACTATGGCCGTTTAGGAGAGCGACGCAAACTGTATTCTCAACGGGAGCAGCAAAGATGAGCATTTGCAACAAAACCGCTGGATAACGGACCTTCGGTGCTATGCGCTTTTCAAATGCACTGATAATGATAAATAATGATCTATCGGATAATGTTGGCTCTAAGACGGCTCAAGCGTGCACTCAATCTCCAGCATATTAGTACCTACTTCCGCGGTATTTTTCACGCTACGCAGATACAATATGAGCCCAACCCCAGTGTGTGGCGAAACGCATGTTTTGTGTCCCGAGCCCTGCGGCACAGTATCCCGTCAGGCGCTGACCACTAGTGACATCTAATGAGAGAAGAATGAGTTAGCTAGGCACTGCGGCGCAGCATCATGCCAGGCGTCGATTACTAGTGACATCTAGTGAGTGAGGAATGAGTTGGCTGGGGGAGTGCCCTGCGGCACAGTATCATGCCAGGCGCTGAGCAGAAGTGACATCTGGTGAGAGAGAAGCAGTTGACTGGGAGACTCCTTCACACTGATAAGCTTGATAAGCTACCTTCATTCAATTGCGTCGGTATGCGTATAAGAAGAGAATAGGTATATCCGGGAAAGGTTGTCCAGCACGCACTGTGTAAACACGGGTTTACTAGTACCTACCTACTGATATCTCGTAAAAACAAATAGTTAAAGGCGAGCTTGAGTTCACGCTGCATCGCGTCTGAATGACACGCTGCTCCTAGCATTACTGACATTGCTCTCTCTGAGCTAAGAAGGACTGTGAATGATAATCCTGAGTTTCAGTTGATCATTAATTCTTAATGAAAGCCGGTAACAAGAAGTAATAATTTCCAAAGTTGGTAAGTCGTGAACATCAAACCAAGCCCTTCTTTTCAAAACCTTTCTTTATTTCATTTGAACCTAAGAATAACTCGGCGCGACCTTAACATTTCCAAGCCGGGAGCGGCTTGGACGGCTTCCACCGTTCGCCGTCATTAGTCTCACAAACTTGGGCCGGCTCTCAGCGTCGGAAGGCACGCTGCCGGCGTGTGCCTGGACCTGACCTGACCTCACGAGGGGTCGTCACGCGGCGCGACATCCCTCGGGCTGGCACTCTGCCAGAAAGAGGCGTGTTTACCAGACACGGCGCGGGCTAAAAATGGCGCGTCCGGAAACCGACCGCCCATCCAGAGAGGCGCCATAATGGGACGACGGCGCCGCGACGCACAATGCGACGCAGCACGCAACTTCTGTGTGTGTCGGCGTGTCTGCGTGTGCTCGAGGGGCAGCTGTATTTATAGATCACGGGCCACGTGGTGCCAGCCGACGAACGTGTTGTTGAGATGTTTACTAATGCGTGGCATCACTGGCCGTGATATCCTTGTCAATTTTTTGTTATCATTTTTTATCTATTTTCGATATGTCTATAAACACCACATGTTAGTAATATGCTACATATATAGATATTGACGATAAAGATTCGTGATGTACCATCGAAAGTGTTACTTTCAATCGCAAAATCAACTGAAATACAAATGGTTTCGAATGATTCACGTATAATTACTTTAAAATCAAATGAAATCAAAATACCGTCTAAATTATCAGTTATAGCAAAGGCGTACAAAAATCCCAGAATCGATTTTTCTGATTGCTAAGAAGCTCTCTGATCTCTCTGATTGACTTAACCCTCGCCGGACCTATTGGTTTTCTACATACGCGCCGGCCGAGGGGGGGGGGGGCGGGTACGACCACCCCTCGCCGTTTCGCCCCTGGTGGAGCTAGCGTGTCACGGAAAAAACGAGCGTGTGCGCCGTTACGAGACGCAGAGATTGGTACCCGATTTTAAGGTCCTAGGTCATCCGGTGACCTCTGAGGTCAGGTCAAGTGCCTCAGGGTACGGTTCAGTTTTTGGTGAATAACTTCGCAAAAAAACGGCCGCAGAGCGCCGATTTTGGCAGCATCATGTTCGCCTCGCTCAGGCGCGTCGAATGATATACTTTTTGTCCGGGTCAGGTCAACTTGGGGTGTTGACCTCAGGTCAAGGTCAGGTCAGCACCCCCAGGTCACGAAGTTGGTCGAAAGAGGTCATGTCGCATATCATTCGATTCGGCAGGCCTTCCTGAGTCCATTGGTGCCTTTCCCGACTCGCTAGCTCAATTTGATCAAGAGTTATTGACGAAAAACTAATTTGACCTTGATGACGTCATAAATGACGTCACGCAAGGTCAACATTGCAAAAGTGACGCATCTAACCTTGCAAGGAGTGCATCAAATCACGATTCTGTCTGCTTGAGATAGTTGGAGATCGTTCCCGGCGCCAGAATAGCAGTTTGAATTTTTCCCCATTGACTTATATTGGTGAGGTCACGAAAATGACCTGACCTCATATGACCTTTAGGAAAAATCCGAGATATACAAGTTGTGGGACTCATAATGGATACTGGATCCTGCAAGTTTCATTTCCCTGTGACATCTCCTCTGGCAGTGAGGGCGTTGCGAAGTTGCGACATCTGAAGACCGTGCAGAGGTTCACTTATGACGTCATAGGTCAGTGACCTGACCTGACCCAAAAATGCGGTTGGTGTCAAAAGATCCGGCTTGGATCAAAGGTCAGGTATGCCAAGTTTCAGCTCTCTATCGCCAGCGTATTCGGAGCTATCGCGAAAAAACCCTATGGGGGGGGGGGCGGCATCCGCCCCCCCCCCTCGGCCGGCGAGCGTTAAACTAGTAGGTACTTAGGTTAGGTTAAAAGGTCAATGATTACTGGCATAACCTGCTTACCAACTGTCTACCGTTGCATAAAATATTTCCAGCAGCTCCAAGCGTAGACAGCGTAATTCGCAAAGGAGATGAGTTTGGTACTCAATTCATCTGACAGCAAAATCAACATGTCTGTCTCATTTAAAACAAGCTAAAGGCATCAAACAACTACCAGCGCATGGCACTCAAGACGGGTCTAACAAATGTCCTATGAAACTTACGAAGCATTGCGATTTGAAATTGGCTTGCTACGAGGTGCTGTTTCGGTGGCGTGCGTGTTCTGAGTGACATGTGTGTCCTATTTTCAGCGCTTTGAAGTCACCCAACCAGTTCTGAAATATGAGACTGAAAAGTCTGTAGTCTGTAGCGTCACATCGCAAGCCTGACGTACCCGTATTTCTTGGCACATATATCTCATTTTAAAGCGAAATAAAGTGAAGGAGAAATCTGGTGAAGAGATCTAACATTTGATGTAAGTAGGCAGATCAGTACCTGGGTATATGATGCCTATACGGGAGTGTAGAAGCTAACGTTCTGTACAGAAGGGACGCGTGATAATGGAACTCCGCTGCCGCCCCAAAATCACACATGATTAGCTGTGCTTTTCATTTGATTGTTGTCATTATCTGCTATCTCCACATAGCCACACACAAGGTAGGTTCTACTCAGACTTGCAAAACTTCTTATATTGAGCAATTTTACAGAATAATAAAACAGCATCAAAAGCAATTAAAGACAAAGGAATAACTGGCGACTGGCCGTGCCAGTCCTCCTGCAAACAAGTCGTAATTTAACTACTAGTGACGTGGAACGAGCCACGGTACCATTCGTGAAAAACGAACATTTGTAACGCGCTTATGAATTCTGCAGAGAGCACCAACGACACAAAGAAACGAACAACACTCAGATTGCCGCGCGCGCCGTTGAATTTAGCGGGCGCACGGCATCAAGGAGTCGACAAGGTCACCGTCCTCCCTCCACCCCTCCCCGTGCGTCCCTCCGACGTCCCCACCCCTCCCCGTGCGTCCCTCCGACGTCCTCACCCCTCCCCGTGCGTTCGCCAGTGCGTCTGCCTGCTTATAGCATGTCTGAACAGAGCGGGGTACGACACACCGCTTCACGAAGCAGCAGTCTGTGTCGCGTGACTTTCGCGAGGCGCAGCGCGGCCGGGGTTAGTCTCTGGATCGACCACGACTGGCGTGGTAATCGGACCCGACAGGACCAACTGAACTGGGGGAGGGGGAGGCCAAAAGGCGGATGATAAGGAGAAGAGGGATCGTAAGTAACGGGAACAGCAAAACGGATGATCATGGTAGGCACATCAGGATAACGAGCACAAAATTGGAAAATTATAGCACGAAGCGCCATAAACAGGTAGTGGGTTGCAGCGCGATTGGTGCTTCATGAATAAATACTAAATACTTTATTATCCCTTGCTTTACTAAGCCATTTGCATAAAAGTCCCCACTCACATCACACACTGTCCAATATTCATAGTTTAACAAATGCTTAGGAAGCAAGAGCCTAAAATAGCATCTTTCCGGAACGGCTAGTGATAACACCGTAGAATCATTTCTCTACAACAACCTAAAAAGTTCCAGTAAAAAATCCCAGAATAGAAGGCAGCACACCATTTGGTCTGCTCTGCTGTTGGGGGTCATTGGCTCCCCGCTGCTAATGTCACCGTCAGCGACAAAACGCCTGAGTCGTGTCGGCCCCCGCACAGCTGGTAAAGCAGGTCAGTCGGGGTGCGGCCGCCTGGCACCGCCTGGAGCGATCGGACGCCGCCGTGGGGGCCCCGCCGCGGTCCCGACCCAGGGCACGGCGACAGGCAAGGAGTGGACATCGCAATAGCGTAGAGGGTGGACATAAGCTGAAAAAATAGACAGCATGTGTATGTATATGTAATTTGTAGCTTAAGAATAAGAGGCATGTTTTTCACAAGTCAATCATTACATTGTTAGAACAGTGTAATCAATGGCAACGACATGATCATTGCACATTGTTGATTAATTATTGGAACTTCAATATGTAAAAGCTTTCCGGTCCTCAGAATATAAGGCTTCTTGGAATTCGATGAGTCGGGAATCTAAGCAAACGAATTGTCTTAAAATATGAAAATTTTATATCTACTGATGACTTGTAAACGCTTCAGCGATGGACCAGTAAAGCTGCGCGGCTATTTCAGGTTTCATTTTAGGGGAGATTGGGGAAAGATGCCCAGGGTTTTACTATGTCATA